AATTTTTAATTTTAGTGAAAGTTCACAGAGATTGGTTTTCATTCATGCACTTTCCCTCTCTCCCCCCCCAATTCCTTATGTAATGCTTGTCCTGTTTCATGCTTTTCATTGTCATGCACTTGATTTCCAGTAGTCCACATTCCTTTCAGATTGTCTTTCCATTTACCCATTCCAGTGCAGTGCTCATTATCTATCCAAGCTTTTTCTGCTCTCTCCCCTCTTCCCCGTACCATCTTAACACAGCAGTAAGCTTATACAGTGTTTGTCCTTTTGTGACACATATTTCAGCCATTTTTATAACTTTTTAAAAGAATAAATTGCAGATGTGAAACTATTAGATATCCTTATAACATCATATGTCTTTTTAACATTCTCTATGTAAGAAATACCATATATATTGCTTTCATTTTACTAATTTATTTTTGTATATGCATGGTTTTCCTTTTGATTTTGTGCCATGTTATTTGATCTGTGGGTCTGATATTTTTCTCACCAATATATATGATGAAAGGCCAACTTGTGTGTCTGTCTGTGTGTGTATGTGTACATATAAGTTGAGCCTTTACATACATTAAAACTATTTTTTTTAATTATATCTTCATTCATTTTGCTTTAGATTTTACCAGATTCGTGCATCTATGAAACTTCCACCACGAATCCCCCACAGAGTAGAAGCTAGTTTGTTACATACAACAGGTAAGCCAAGGAATATTTTCCATTTTAAAGAATTATCAAAAGCAAAATTGTAATGTTGAACAATAGTAATTACTCATAAATATAGTGTCCCTTGATATTCTTAGGGAATTGGTTCCAGGATCTCCCATGAATGCTAAAATCCAGATGTGCCCCAAGTCTCTTATATAAAAAATAGCATGTTGTTGAGTAAGAACCAAATGATAGCTGGGTCATCCAGCAGGTTTTCAGAGACAGTAAATTGCAGAGGAGGAGATTGCCCATCTTTCTCCCATGTAATAGTATTTGCGTTTAACCTATGTATATTCTTCTGTCATATATTTCTATACTTTAAATCATCTGTAGATTATGATTGCTTTGATCACTTAATTGATTGTGTGGGTTCTTTTCAATCGCACACCACCACCACCCCCCGCCACATAGCCTAAGTCTGGAACTAGTTAAATACACAGATGTGAAATTTATGGACACAGAGAATAGGCACTGTTTATTTTTAATTGTAAATGCAAAGATAAAAGACCATCATTATAACCCTGATAAGAAATATATTGATGTATTTGGGGATTTCATAGAATAGGCTTGATTATTTAGACCCTGCATAGTTAAGACAAGCAAATGAAAGAATATATCTGAAAGTTTTATGAAAACAAGTAGAGTTTAAGATGTAATTTTACAAGATAGTAAATGTGAACATATAATTTGACTTACAATTGTAAAGGTATTTTATGGTAAACTTTTATAGTGTGCCTTTGGATGACATTTTTAAACCATTTTTTAAAAAATCTTAACTAATTAGAATATGAAGAGCCAGAAGATGATGTAGAAAGAGATAAAATGTACATGGTATAACAATTTTATTACTTAGGACCTAAGGAGAAATACTAACATTAAAAGGTTTAAGCTAAAAGTTCTATCCCTAAACTGGTAGATTTTGATTAGTCAACATTTTATTTCACTTTCCTAGTAGTATACTATGTTTTATTCTATGTAATTGGGATTGAAATGATGACATTGTTGAGCGTTACTGTGTATGCCTTATGTATATTATTAATCCCCAAAGGATAAAATAATAAGGCACAATTCACATTAAAGCTATGCAGATAGACCATATTTCAGTCTGTTTTTCAAATTGCTAAGAAATTGAAATACTTAGTATCATCTTTTTGGATGCGAAAATATTAGTTAATATTAAATTTTAGTGAATGATACGTAACTGAGAGTTTGCCTTCCCCCAAATTATCAAATAGTCAGGGAAGCCTGTTTGTGACCAAAAATATGTATGTCCTTTAAAAAAGCAAACAAAAATGTTTATTCTTGGCTTGGCATGCATGTTAATGCCCATTTTTATTATAATAGATCCTCTTTTATAAAGTCTTCTTTCCTTCTGTGAAATACTGAAGTGGCTGATGTTATAAGCTTGGTTTTGTACTCACTTTTGAACTGACTTAAATCTACTAGACTAAATCAATTTGCTACATTTTATATCAGTTGGTAAGAATAATATGTGAGATATATTCAAGATAGCAAGATATTTGACAAAAATCCCACAAGTTAAAATAAACTTAAATTAAGAAATTGATTTTCTGAATATAATAAGATTCTTTCTTTTAGTTATAAGCTTTGGAGAGAAAGTTAGTTCAGTTAAATAATCTTGAAAACTAAACTTTTCTTCATAAGAGAATCTGAGAGATTTCTTTTTTTTTATTGTATTATTTTTACATGTACCATCAAATCAGATCTGACTGGTACAGGAGGAGATTGCCCCCTCCTTCTCCAGCAGAGCATCTGGTGGATTTGAACCACATACCTCTGGGATTGCAGTGCAGTGTCTTGCCACTAGGCCACCAGAGCTCCCTGAGAGATTTCTTTTTGAGAGTTAATAATCTGTACAAGATCTAACATTTTGATATTTTGCTTCAAATTTATTCACAATTAGTGAAATAAATTTATATTATGTTTTCGTGTGACCTTATTTAAAAAGCAAAACCCTTATGTCATCTTCAAGCCGCAGTAGGATCAACTCCTAAATGAGTGATGGTGACTTCTATAATGTGCAATTAAGTTGTATAAGAAACATTCAGTATGTTTCTTATAGCCTTGTTGTTATTGTTGTTATGTGCCATTGAGTCACTTGAGACTCATAGCAATGCTATGTACAACAGCCCTAAACCCTGGTCTGTCCTGTGCTAATTGCATTGTCTCTGATACACCCATTCCGATTACACAAGGACCGCTCTACTTACAGCATGTCCAAAGTTTGTCAGACGAAGCCTCAGAATCCTTGCCTCCAAGGAGCAGCACAGTTTAACCCTTTCCAGGATGAATTTGTTTGTTTTCTTAGCAGTCCATGGTACACTCAATACTCTTCTCCAGCACCACAGCTGAAAGGCATCACTTCTCCTTCTATCCTCCCTAGTCACTGTCCAACTCTCTGATGCATAACAAGTGATTGCAAAGACCATGGCTTGTATCAGACACACCTTAGTCTCCAGAGAGATACTATTGCTCTTCAGTACTTTGGAGAGGTCCCTAACAGCAGACTTTCCCATTGCAATATGTCTTTTAATTTCCTTACAAATGGTAAAATATTTAATAGGTTGTATTATTTTAAGTTATAGCTACTGGATAGAAAACACAAAGGTGATACTTTGGACACAAGAAAAAAATTGCATACAATTTCTCTTATACTTTTTCATATTTTTTATCAAAATGGCAGAAAATGTAATATCAAATATGACTTCTCAAAATCTTTTTTATTTCAAATACTCTATCTTTGTGTTTTGTTTTATTTTAATTCTCTACTATAGCGATCTTGTTTTTCTTACATATGGTATGTGAAGTTATTTACAGTTTTAAAAGTAAATGACCTAGTTCAAATCCACCAGGTGCTCTGCTGGAGAAGGAGGGACAATCTCCTCCTGTACCTGTCAGATCCAATTTGACGGTACACACAAAAAAATAATAATAAAATAAAAATTAATAAAAGTAAATGACCTAGAAAAATATCATGAGATGTGCCACTTTTCCCTACCTCAACACCATTCCCAAGATGATTGCCTCTTATTTGTGTCATACTCTGAAGCTTATATCATCTCCTGAGCACCACTGTGATGCCGTATGCAGAGGAGGACACTAAAACTTAGATTGGTATCATGAAGCCAACGTGTAGAAGGCCAGACTCTTTGCACTTTGTTGTGTCAGTTTATCGTACTGTGGTGGCTTGTAACACTGGAAGCTCTTCTGCTAGCATTTTAAGTACCAGCACAGTGACCCTTACAAGACAGGTTTGAGCAGAGTTTCCAGACTCAGACAGACTAGGAAAGAGGTCCTAATAATCTGCTGCTGAAAAAGTTGCCCTGTGAAAACCTCATCAGTAGTTATGGAGCCTTGTCTGATACAGTACTGGAAAGTGAATGCATTCAAAACACAACTGAGGGAATGATCCCTCCTCAGAGCTTCAACCCTAATGATACAGAGGGAGTAAAGTTTTTGAGATCATCATTTGCAGGTGTGATGTGACTAAATGAAAGGAAACCGCTGTAAAGATACATTAGTATTAGGACCATGTATAGAGCATGAATAAAAAAATTAGAAGTTACCAGCAAATATATGGAGTACAAAGACATTATGTACATAAACATTAGTAAGTTCAAATGGATCATTCCATTTCAGAAGAAAATGTAGATTGCCTAATTTTTTTTCAGCTCATTGTAAGCTGAAATGGATTATTCAAAATTATTTTAAACATTTTAAATCAGATAATCACATGGATGACTCTTCACAGAGTGAGAACTTGAAGAGCAATGACATCACATTCAGAGTCAAAAACATTTTAAAATTTATCTCAAAGCAGATCTTTGTCAGTGTTAGGACAAAATCTTTCTTCCTACAGGGAAGACCAGTTGATAAGACTACTGTACACTTTTATACACTAATCACTAAATACTACACATGAAGAAATTGAAGATTTTGCCAACTGTTGTCATCTAAAATCAATTAAACGTGTCGTTGTTGTTGTTGCTGATTGCAATCAAGTCGAATATTACTCATAGTGACCCTGGGGACAAAAGACCTGAAGCCTTTTTATAACCTTCGTCATTTATCAAAGTTCATAGAGGACTGTTATTTAGGAAGTAGATGCCACTCCTGCTTCCAATTAGAATTATTACTAATGGAGGTTAATCTAGGAATTTTTATAATTAAAAAGCAGAAGATTCTTTAAGCTTTGCTTTTTCTTTGGAGTGGGGTGGAGTCTAGTCAATTAGGATGTAATGCTGATTATCTCACAAAATTAGTATAAACATGACATTAAGATGCAGTAATATTTACTAGTGATTGAAATGTGGAAGTTGAAAGCAAAAAAAGGATTTGTAGTTGAAAAATACGGCCTTGCAGATGCCAGAGATCTCATGATAGCATTTGGCAAGACCAGTGCCCATTCATTGAAAATACCTCCTTTAATAACATAAGCACAACCATGTCTTTGGACCTTATAAGATGGAATGCACAAAAATTAAATCAAATACATCTATAGGAACAGTGTCACAATGAAGCAGTTCAGTATCACCAACCAGAACAAGGTCAGGGACTAACTCTGGGATAACTGGGTTAAAGATGAAGAAAATGAGAAGAAATTCTTGAGAGCCAAAGTGTAACTTTGACTATATCCCACCTGAATTTAGAGATGCATCTCAAGAATAGATTTGACATATTGAACTGAATGACCAAAAGCTAGACAAGCTATAGGATGATACCATAAATGAAGAAAACAAATGGTCATTAGAAAGAAAGGAAAAGGAAAGAAAGATAAAACCAAAACCAATGTCAGAAGAAACTCTGAAACTTACTTTTAAAGGTGGAGAAGCTAAAGCAAAAGAAAGAGATGATAAGAGAACTTAGCAGAAGTTTCCAATGGGTAGATCGAGAAGATGAGGTAAAATATTTTCATGAAATATGCTGAGACTTGGAACTAGAACACCAGAAGAAAAGTATTCTCTGCATTT